TCGTCCCGGGCCCGCAGCTATATCGAATGAGATCGGTTATGGTGCTTCACCGAGCCGGGCGCTCATCCTCCGCTACAAGATGCGGTTTTATCCTGCTTTGAGTCCGGCTCACAATAGTGATGAAGTCAATTTTGACGTTGCATCGGATACATTTTAAGAACTCGATTAGATTTCTGATGACATCGATGCCGTCAAAGAGGCGACAGACCAGAGACAAGAGACCCACTGGTATCTTGGCAATGGTGGGCGCTTTTACTTCCAGGACTTCATAACATTTAACTTATGACCTACCTCCTCTGTGGATGGTGAATGGTTAAAAACGTGTTGGAATTTTCGTTTCACAAACAAACAAAAATTGGGGAAACTTTTTGGCTTATGACGTTACCTGAAACTCATCCATCCACCTAATAGGTAATATCTCTGTTGCTCTCTTATAATTGGACCGCGTCAAACAGAAAAGAACCAAGTCACATCAGCTATTGCCAAATTTAAGTGGGCAATTAAAATTTTTACATAAAAAAGATTGAGCGGATTCTCGTGCAAATTGCAGTGAATTTTTTCCATAAAACGAAGCAAATTCCTTAAAAATCTTAAAGGAATCCGCACAACCGTTCTCGCTTAAAAAAGTAAATGGCTCAGTTTTTGGAGATGACTGATGTGGCTTGGTTCCTTTCTGTTAAAAGTGGTCCAATTGTCCATAGAGAAGTGTTGAATCCCCGAGACGAGAGTAAAACCTTCCACCTGCCACCAAGAGGCCAGAGGAGGGTCTCTTGTCTCTGGACTGAACCAATGTATTCTTCGGGCTTCTATTACAAACTAACTGCAAATGCACTGAAACTGCACTTCGTATTTGAGCTGCAAATTCTAATGTGTATTTCGTCATATTATACATTTTGAGGGGTGTTCCTTATAGATAACTCCACAAGACAATCGTTGGAACTACATATTATCTTCTACTTTTGATAATAACGAAGATGAAAGCTTTCGCAGTTTCAAAATCATGTCCAGGCTCTCCTACTGTTTGGTTCTAGTGTGCGTCTTCAGCCCTTCTCGGTGACAATCCGATTGTTGCGCGGGTATTGACGGTTCGAACGACGAACCGATTGAGTTGAGAAACGAGCGTCTTCGTTGCAAGGATGATTCCTGTAATAAACGGATTTCGCGGTGGATTGCGATTTGACTCAAGGTGAACGCCGGTTGGAAAGGCAGACAGAGCTGTTTCACACGTCCCGACATCGCATTAATAACCTCATATTTGGACTACATTTAGCAATTGAGAATTTGCATGCAAATTTTTTATTGCTTCATCTGAAAGTTCTTAAAGAGCTGACTTCACAGCATTTATTATAATTTTTTTCTGATGGGGGAAATAGTATAAAATTAGGTTTAAAACTGAGAAAATGCACCGCCCAGTGACGTCTTCTGGCGGCATTTAACATTAAAACACACGTTCTTTAGCAGATTAGATTGGTTTGTCATATTTCTCCAATAATTGTTCAACTCATGAACCAATGGTATCCTCGTGTTCAGTTCACTCAGTAGTTTCCACTTGTGGCCTGGTTACACGATCGAATTCTCGTCAAATTCCGATCAAAATGATGACCAAGATGGCGGTAGAGAGTTATCTAGATTGATGAGTAAAATTAATTGAAACAGCGTGTTGATTGAAATAAGCATGAAATAAGCACGGTTGTGTGGAAATCAGATGAAGGATGAGCCCCACAGCTCCATCATCTACCTACCATCAAATTTTTGCAGGCCGCAGAAATTTGATGGTAGATGGTGCGCACCAGTCACCATTTGATCGGAAATTGATGGTTTGAGCGTGTAACCAGCGCATTTTACACAAAATTCATCAAATTTCAGACACATGCAAATACTCTATTCGGAACTACAATTTCTTGTTCAGCCTAGAAACAGCGTGTGTACCATTAGTTTGCCTACGTACATAAGTGTTTTTACGGATGAGGTAGAAACTGTAGTTCCTGGTCGGCAAAATTAAGTTCATTTCTACTTCGCGGGCAAAATTAATCAATTTGAGGGTATTTGTGAGATTTTTGAAAGTCTGACTTAGTCTGTTGAAAATATCGATTTAGGTGAGACAAGCTACCTCACCAAGGATCGATTACATTACATACATTTAAATGGAGGCAAAACAGTGTTGCCAAATTACAAGACTCGCCGCTGAATGAACCGAGAGACAAGGCGCGGAAATTAAATTAAAGGGACGTCAAGGTTTATACACGGTCGCTTCGGGGAAGGGCGAAAAGCATTTAAAGCGATCCCGCTAATAATTTAACCGCCGACAACACGAAGCGGCGACTTGTCGCGGATTTTTCCACCTAACCTGATTACTTATTGCGCGACCGGCGAGGGTGCCAGGTGGCCGAATTTCAGCGTTCCCTGAAATTAAAGAAGGGTAATTCGTGCGGAGCATTAGTCTACCCTGCGAAAGACCGATAAATTACGTGGAGCTGAAGTTGTAGAAGTGCTTCAAAAAGCGCTAGTGCACCGTTGCCAGAATGCAATTGAACGATTTTGAGTTGGCGGTTGTGCGCTTCGGGAATGGTGTTAAATCATGCGAGGTAAAAATATGACTTTCTTATCTTTTGGCTCTCTTCAACTTTCCGCCTCGAGCTCGAATTTGCTCGGTCTATGGAACTGATACATAGGTAAGATTAGGACTTTAATTGCGCTAAAACGTCGGGCTAAAGCTTACATACTAAATCTTTCAGCAACTCCTCGCTTCTTTATTAGTAGCGGACGAAAACAGAAAGGAAACAAAAATGAATGAGCGCCATTGATCGAAAAATCATTGACGGACACCACTCCTCAGTTTTTGAGTGAAGTCGGCCATACTGGAAGAAAAAGTCTTCAATCGGACTTTTGCTTGAATTAATAGGATATACGCTCAAATTGGACGTGTTTCTGCCAAACTGAACTATGTGCATTATAACATGAGCCCTGTTATGCATACATTCTTATGGATCTCAGGGCTCATGTCTTAATACATATAGTTTCGTTTGGCAGAAATACGTCCAATTCAAAAGCTTGGCTCTCGATTCGAGAAAAACACCAATTGAATCGAGGACATTTTTTGGGTCAAATTTGTTAAGAGCCTGGGCTAGAGATCCAAGCTATTCTTTTCAAGGGCATACTCAATATTTGAGTGTAATCCCTGTACGGCTAACTCTGCAAACTCAAGGGTTTGTCAATTTTCCCCTGCGTTTTTCAAGAGGGCTAGTCTTTTCTAAAAAAAAAAAAAAAAAAAAAAAAAAAAAAAAAATCGAGTAAAAATAAAAGCTCAAAAAATATAAAAAATATTCAGGTATATTGGAGCACTATTCGGAGTACAGATGAACTTTGGGGTCGTCCCTAAGTTAAGTAACGCACATTTTTGGCAATTTTTGCCCCCCCCCCTATTTGTAACGCTTTTTAGACGTAGGCCCCTGACTTTTACCACGTAAAAGCAAAATGGCGTAACGCTTTCCTGGACCCCCCTCCTCTGGAGCGTTCAGTAATTAAGGGACGGCCCTTTATTCCCACGGCACGTACCGGGTACACTACCCGCAAAATGGAAATTTTGCAACGTTGGCAGGTGCAGCCTTCAAGCTCGGAGCTAGCTCTTCGATCTGCGCGCCCGGCTCCCGTTAATTTCGAGACGCGGCCCCGGGGGTAGGGAGGGGGAGGAGGGGGGGGGGTCGGTAGTCGGGAACAGCGGAAAGCAATTTTCGCCGAGCGTCGGGAAAATGAAAACTTATCGCTGATAAACATAACGGCGGCGGGGCAACTTTCCGCCTAAACTTTCNTTTCCCGCCGGTGCGACTTAACTGCAGATTTATAACCCCCACTCCG